TATTTTTTTTAAAGAAAACAATTTATAACAATATAAACATAATATAACCAAAACCCAAATGACCCAATTTCTAACAATTTGGATCAAGATTGCCACTCACAGAAGAATCACCCATGAAACTTTACCAAAAAATGAAGCTATAAGCTAATTTTCACATTTTAAAACCCAAATAGAAGAGAAGCATCAAGGACATTCACATTAGTATGAATAAGCAACAAAACTGTTGAGTTAAAAACAAAAGGTAGTGCAGCATTCTCTCAAGTAAAGCAATCATAATATCAAGAATGAGAGCATCTTCAAGATTGAACCATAGGCTCAGGCCCTGTTGACTCTCCCTGAGATTTGTTCGATTGCCTAACCGAATTAAACAGAATGTCCTTGATCACCTGACAATTACCCCCCAAAAAAAAACTAAGTGTCAGAAAGACCATTTGTAGCACTCACAAATCATAACCTGATTGAAAGAGAGTAATCCCATTCCCACCTGTGACATCAACCCATGAACCTGTTCCACAGTAATCTTTGCACTATCACGTGTAATCTTTGCAAGCTGTGATTCTTCCTGTAATTGATGAATAAATTAATGAAATATGAATCGTATTAAACTTTCCAAAATTCATATCCATGTATGCAAATATGCAACACAGAGAAGATGCTGCTACCCACTGACCTCTTTCTTTCTTTGAGGGGGTGCTATGAGAGGACCGAAACGTGAATGGGACAATTGACCTTCTGCTTGTTCCAGTTTTTCAGCTGCATGACAAAAGGGTAAAAAGGTAAAACAAAAAAAAACATGTTAGAATTCTAAACAAGATGCACATCATCTTTTAAGTAAGTATGATAAGTGTGTACCAAGATCTGATATTTGTCCTGCAACATAGTCACCATTCCCAAGTAAAGGAGAAGAAGAAAGGGTATTCACCCAATACTTATTCCAAAGAAGATCCAACAAGTGACAATCAAGAGATGACTTGAAATAAGTGATGTCCAATGAGTAATACTGTTAACCAAAAAAGCAAAAATAGTAAATGCTAGAGGATCAAATCAAAACATCATCAATCCATCAATCAACTGTATGATATGACTCACCTGTTTGCAGTGGACACCAAAGTCTTCTATCTTGTTTAGAGGGATTGTCTGATATTCAGATACAGGCTCATCTGGTGGCTTATATCCCTCTGGGTATGTCCTGAATGCTCCGATCTCGACTTTTCCAGCAGAAACAGTTCTTGTTGGGTCAATAACAACTGCCAAAAATGGCTCCTGAAACTGTTGGTTGAGCATTTGTGTTGAAACATCAATGCCGGACAACCAGCATCCATAACCAGGATGTGAATGGTACCACCCAACAACGTTTTCTAATCTTCCTGCCTACAACACAGTATCCCAGTTAGATTTAAACTATGTAGTCTTACAAGAATTTGGGATTTAAGGGTTAGGGTTTTTCGAATTCTAAATCCATAACGGACGATCAACGAAAATAGAATCGAAATTGAAACTAACCTGTTTATTTGTCTGAGAGTAATCAACCATATACTCATAGGCATCGGCCTGAGCATTAACCCTAGTTTCCGTTCCTTCAACCGGCAAGGCAAAGGCGTCCATTACGATTATAGCATCACCATCTGTCTTCCCTTGCATAAGGCCCATGACCTCGATGGTGCCACCAGAGCGAGCATGAACGACCATCTTGAGTAAGGCTAGAGCAGAGACTTTGACACGTTTGAAGTAGTGAGGGTCGTTGGACCATGGTTTTTCTTGCTGGAACTTGGACTGAGCGGACTCGTCGTAGTAAAAGATGGCATCGGATTCGGAGGACTGCGGGGCTTCCATTGTTACTATGTTGTTTTCGAGTTCCCATGTCTGCTGAGCCATGGCCGCCGATGAGGAGAAGGAGTAGGGATCCATCGTAGAGACCTCGGGGATTCGAAAGTGGTAAAACTTTGCCTTTTCCCTGCTTTTAAAGTTCTATTTTGCTTCGGCAAATTAAATAAAAAACTTAAAACAAATTTTTTTTTTTTTCATATTTTTGAAATCTTAATCATACATCATTAAAATAAAATGTTCATTAAAACTTTGGGAAAATGACGTATAGGCCCTATAATGTTTCTAGGGTTGACCCATTTAGCCACTTAACTTATTTTGTGGCTTAATAAGGGAATAAATTACTCTTTGTCGGGTCGATTAAGTCCTTATTTCAATTTTGAAGGGGTTAGCCGGTCATTTTAAGTCCATATCCTTCTACTAACACCACATCGGATGCTGACTGTGACTTTCGTCTAATGTTATGTCATTAATTAGTCGCCTCCTTCGTAATGTCGGTATATGCTTTATGAAAGAGCCCTTTTACATCTACTGTTCAACACTTCATCGGTAAACCCTATTTTGTGAGCTGCTTTTGAATCCTCAACCATGAAACTCGTATTCTTACAAGTAGATGTCCACTTCCAAGGAATGTTCGCCAGAAACCCCATACGCTACACCGGTGGAATTACTCAGAGGTTTTCGGACATCGATTTCGCAGGAATGGACAAGGATGGGTGTGTTGCGTTCATCGAAAGGTTCACTGGGGAAAAGTGTGATAAGCTCTATTACTGCCAACCTGATATTGATTTTCCAAAAGGTTTGACTCTAATTTGCAATGACCCCGATTATTACGACTTCATTGAAATTGCATATGAATGTGGTGTTATACTCCCTATGTATGTAGACCATTTTGGGGATAGTAACATACAGGAATGGTTGAATGAACACAAAGATGACTTTGTTGGTAATGTTGAGGAAGAAGTACTTGATGGTGCAGGACTGGTTAAGGAAGTTGCACCAGGGTATCAGGATGTGGGTGACACAAACGATGAGGTAGAGAATGACGACGATGATGAGGATGTCGATGGCGATGAGGATGACCATCAGAAGCCTCATTTTTTTATAAAGGGTAATGAGATTCAGGTAGAGATGGGTGAGAAAGCAGGTGCAGGTGAGTTTTTCGAAGAAGACATGGGTGACAATGAAGATGTTTATCCTGAATTGCCAAACATTTTCAATGATAAGCTCAATTGGAAGGAGCAGGAACCTGTTTTAGGTATGAGGTTTGAGAGTCCTAAGCAATTGAAACACATGCTTTGTAACTATGCTATCGCGAATGGTTATCAATTATGTTTTGTTAAGAATGATACTAGATGATTACTTGTCAAATGCTGTGATGGCAAATGTACTTTTAGGCTTTGGGGTTCTTGGATGAGTGAAGATAAGTCTTTCCAGATAAAATCTCTTATCGGTGAGCATAATTGTGCAAAGAATTTCAAATTCGGATCAATTGTGACTTACAAATGGATAGGGACCCACTTTAAGCACCAATTTCATAACAATCAAAAGATGAGCATCCGAATGCTTAGAGAGGAGGTAAAAACAATTTTTGGGATTAACGTGAGTATGAGTCAGTGTAGGAGAGCCAAGAAGTATGCATTGAGTCTAGTTGAAGGGACAATAGCTGAGAATTATGCAAAATTATGGTCATATGGTGAGGAGATTAGAAGATTAAATCCTGGATCCACAGTTAAAATTTGTGTTGATTCAATGCCTGATGGTAAGAATTATTTCAGCAAAATATACATATGTTTTGCTTTAGTAAAAGAGGGATGGAGGGGAGGATGTAAGAGGATCATTAACCTGGATGGTTGTTTTGAAAACTTTTTGTCAAGGGGAGTTGCTTTGTGCTGTGGGTAGAGATGCTAACAATGGAATATTCCCAATTGCTTGGGCAGTTGAATCTGTGGAAAACAAAGAGAATTGGAAATGGTTCTTAGAAACTCTTTCAGAAGATTTGCAGTGTTGGAATGATGGTAACGGTTTGGTTCTAATTTCGGATCAACACAAGGTATGGTTCAAAACTATTGCATGTTCTAAATTTAGTTATTGCTATTCGAATTTCAAACATTAATGTGACTTATGTAGAGTTTGATTGAGGCAGTAAAGGAAGTATTTCCAGCATCTGAAGATAGGCGGTGTGCTAGACATATCTATGCGAATTTTAGAAAGACATTTAGTGGATCCGAGTTTGAAAATCTATTTTGGAAAGCGAGCAAGGCAACAACTGAAGCACAATTTAATGTAGTTATGAAAGAGATTGGAAAATTAAATCCGGAAGCAGTTGTGCATCTTATGGCTAGAGATCCAAAGACTTGGTCTTTGGCTTTTTTCAGAGTTCATAATTCTTGTGAGTCAGTAGAGAATGGTTTTTCAGAGAGTTTTAATAGTGTGATTTTGGATGCCCGGAATGAACCAATAATAGGCATGTTAGAGGACATTCGTATATATGTAATGCAAAGGATGGTGACTATGAAACTAACCGGACAAGGATGGAATGCTTATTCTGTTTGTCCAAATATCAGAATACGGTTGAATATGCTCCAAACTGAGAAAAGGTTTGTACATTTATCCAATAACATTAGTACTTTACTTTTCACATCTCCTGATATTTGCGGTTTTCATCTATATATGTAGGCATTAGCATGTCATTTCTTGTGGGGGGATGAAGTTTGAGGCAAGGAAAATGGACGAGGCGTTTACTGTGGATGTTGAAAAAAGGAATGCAACTGTAAGCTATGGCAACTTAATGAATATGGCTGTGTACACTCAGTTGCCACCTTAACCTACTTAAATTTGACACCTGACGGTCCATATGTAGATCCAATGTACTTGGCTGCATTATACCATAATACTTACAAACAGCCAATCCATGGGATGAATGGATAAAATATGTGGCCTTCTACTAACTTGATACCCCCTTTGCCTCCATTGAAAAGACGTATGCCAGGAAGGCCAACCATAAAGAGAAGAAGAGATGCTTATGAACGGATGGGAAAACATACCGTCTGCAAGGCAGGGAAGAAAGTTTCTTGCAGCATATGCAAGGAGAAAGGACACAACAAGGCTACTTGTAGTAAAGGTGTAGGAACATCCAAACAAAATGGAACAAAGAAACAAAAAACTATACCTACTTAGGAGTCTACGCAGGAGCCTGTAAACGTTGCCATAGGAGTAGGGAATGATGAGGTAATCGTAGATGCTACTGATGCTTTGGATAGGCCTAGAGATGAAGAGCGAATGGTGGGAATCAATGGACGAGAAGAAGGGGTAATGTCAATGCTCGAGTTAAGCATGTTAAACCACCTATAATGCGAAAGAAGTCAGAACGAATCATTAAACTGAAGCTTGCAAAAAATGTGGGAGGTGAAGGTAGCAGTGTTGCAACGGCCATGGACTTGGATTAAGTAATTGTTTGTTATTTGTAGTGAATGTGTGTTGCAGTAAACAAATGATCTTTGTATGTTATTTTATGGTGTACTACGAATATTTAGGGGTATTATGGGCATTTTAGCCAAAACAATGTAAATTGACCATTTATGATGTGGGGGTATTTGAGTTAATACTATTTAAATTGACTATTTTGGTTGTGGGGGCATTTTAGTCATTAGAAATTAAATTGACCATTTTGGTTGGGGGGGGGGGGGGATTTAGTCATTAGAAATTAAATTTATCATTTTGGATGTGGGGGCATTTTATTCATTAGAAATTAAAACCATTTTTGTATGTGGGGGTAATTAAGTCATTACAAAGTAAATTGACCATTTTGGATGCAGGGGTAATTAAGTCATTACAAAGTAAACCGACCATTTTTCATGCAGGGGTAATTAAGTCATTGTAAAAAACAGGGGACTTGTGACTTAATCCATTCAACATGACAAGCATATATGGTTCAATCATGTGCAAAGGTATTTTTTGTCCCTTTTCCCAAACTGCACCATTTGTGGTCCCTGTCTATGCGCTTAAAGAAGTTAAATTCATTTTGCTTTGTGTTGTGGTCCCGTCCTAGTCAATGAAACATAGGTGAAAGACAATTTCTTTCATGCATACATACAGATATAGGTGAAAGCAAGAAATTTCTTTTTAATAATAACATATTAAAACACATTTCACCCATAGGTTTGTTTACATCGGTTTCTGCTATTCAACAACCTATTACATAGATCATCAACAAAAGACTTCATCAAAAAACGATCACAATCAGCAGCCCAACAACACCACCACCAAATCTATAGAACAACATCACAAACTAATACTAGCAACCCACAAAAAATCTACTACTATTATTGACACTAAACAACATAGGCAACACACCAAAACACAAACCCAAGAGTGAAATGCTTCAACCTAAACAACATTTTTTTACTTAAACACCAAATACGTCACCACAAACGCACAAACAACATCAAAAATCCCAACACAAGGCATCAGCTTCTTACCTTTGTTGTTTTTGAAGACCATCTTCACATATGATACTTGCAGAGAAACAACATGATTTTTAAGATCATCAACCATATTTGAGATATCCATCTGACCAGCGCGAACGTCATCGCCCTCAAGGTTCATGGCATCTAAGTGTCGATTAGCTGCCTGACGGAGCTCACGCAACTGGTCTTGGAAGTCCTCTCGTATAAGCGACAGTTCCATCTGGGTTTGCAGTAGATTGATGGTCATGTCTTCTTTGGTTACACCATTCGAATGATTCTCATCCATGTGACAGCCGTAATTTGGAGACCAGCTGTGTTCTGCACGTCCGCTCGAAGCCATTTTGGAGTAAACTTAGAGACGAGATTGGGGTAATGAAGTTTGCAGATGTGCCCTTTTAGGTCAAGGAAGTCTTCATTTTATATGGAGGCTCTAGAACTGTCGATCCTTGCTCCTTACGATTCGCCTTCAATACGACATCATATGCTTTGTTGGACGATTTAACTTCTTGCCATGTCATCGCTTACGTGTTAGGCTAGGTTTATGTGGCAACGTTAACCGGCTACAATGGGTAAAAGGGACTATATTGTTAGTTAACAAATAATTCGATCCCTTATTAAGCCACAAAATAAATTAAGTGGCTAAATTGGTCAACCCTATAAAAATTATAGGGCATGTACGTCATTTTCCCTTAAAACTTTCTTTGTGTCATATAATTTAAGTGGTTAACATTTCATAGTAAATTTAAAACTTTCTTTACTTGTTTTCATTATAAACTTGAATTTATTTACGTTTCGACTTAATTTTACTTTTACGTTTCCGTGTTTATTTTATGGATGCTACATCGCTTCTACCTATATATCGAATCACAATATAATATCTTTTAAATTGTTTGAACTTTCGTTCGTTAACTTAATAAAAATAATCGTATTTGCTTATTTATTTTTCGTTAACTTATAAAAAAACCTTTTACGTGCTTATTTTTATGTATGTGTCTGTATAAATTGAAGGTGATTAACATTTCGACGTAAATTTAGAACTTTCGTTACTTGTTTTTTTATGTATGTGTCATTATAAACTCGATTTTTTCTAAGTTTTGACTTTTTTTTTAATGTTTTTGAGCTTATTTTTATGGACGCTTTGTGTAACATCTTAAAATTCATGACAAATTTTTATTTTTTATTTTTGAATAAGTAATTATAAAATAAACATTAGTTTGAGACATTAGTAGCGTCAACTAATTCCATCAGTATTTCAACACAACCAAAACATGTCATAGAAAGTAATATCAGAATACAACTCCCAAAGATCTCGTAATGCGGAAATCATAGTTTGATGCGTTGCAATCATGCCGACTCATTTCCTTTCGAGGAAAAAGTACCTAAAACCAAAACTGAAAACCATAAGCATAAAGCTTAGAGAGTTCCGCCATCATACCACATAATCATATATTGTTAGGCTTATCTGCGTGCCCGACCTACCCTGTCAAGCATATCTAGGTGCTCGACCTACCCTGTCAGACATATTTGGGTGTCCGACCTGCCATCTGGTATATTTCAACGGTTACGAGGTCTATTTCACCCCTACCACTACCATATAATAATGTATCATAAACATACTGTCAGGCATATATGAGTACCCGACCTACCCTCCGGTGTATTGCAACTGGTTACAGGGTCTAATTCACCCCTAACACTACCACAAAATAACATAGCAATAATCACACAAATCACAACAGATAGTGACATACCAGACAATTATCACAAAGATAATCATCTCTACTATAACAACTGCAAGTGGGCCGACATTGGTGCCTTCGACCCACTCATACAAGAAGGTAACTCACCTCAACCGTGTGTGCCGAAAGTGTACTCCTTAGATGGATCGGGACTCCTCTCCCTAAAACTGTTGGATTAGTGTCTAAGTCCATAACTATTTTGGTATGTACTTGACCCGATGGTGCATGGTCCTTTTGGTTGCCTTCACCAAAGGAACTTGATAGGATGAATTATGGAGAGAAAGGATTAAATATGATTTATTATTATATTATGAGAATAATATATTAAAGGAGAAATCATATTGTTTAATTAATATTAGTCAAGAATTAATTGGTAATTAGTTTTGTGACTAAAAGAGATTAATTAAACTTAAGGGACTGGAATTGTAATTATAAGATAATTGCAATTTGGGCCATGGATTGCCTTATATTTAGGAGTGGACGAATTCTATGGGAAAGCCCATGAGGAAATCGTCCAAGGCCTTAAGGAAAGGAATCTATGGGTTGCTTAGGGCTTAAGCATCCAATTTAGGGTTTCCTTGTTAGATAACCCTAATAGCCTCACTATATATAGACCCCTTAAGGACCAAAAACGTGGCTAAGCATTCTTCTAGGGTTTCACACACTTTTGGGCAGCCTCCATCCTCTCTCCTCTTCATCATCTTGCTCTTGGTGTTTGTGAACCATTAGAGGAGTGACATTTGTGACTCTAAGCTTTCTAAAGTCAATACAAGGAGGAATTGAGATTGTTATTGCTACATAACAATCAAGGTATGATCTTAAACCTATTCTCATGTTAATATGATTACTTGAATGCTAGAATTAGGGTTTATAGTCTTGGATAACTTGCATGTACAATAGAGAAACCTAGATCCAAACATTAGGGTTTGTATGAGCACATAGGATGTTTTTATGACCAAAACCCATCAAAAACATAGCAAGTCCCTTAGTTAGTTATTAGGTCCATGTACTTCTCCTTTATGGCCCAACTTCTAATTCATACCCTAAGGCAAGGCTCCCTAGTCCTTGCCCTAATGGGCCTTTTCCCCCAAGGCCCAATCCATAATAAATTTAAGGCCCAAGAGGCCCAAAAATATAAATCCCAATCCTAGGCCCAGAGCTCTTTCTCCTCAGTGGGCCATGAGGCCCACAATCCTAAGCCCAATCACCGAAGGCTAAAAAAGCCATGTATTTATTATGTATGCGTACGCGCGGCGTACCTGGTACGTATGCCCAACGTACGCTAGTCTTGACTGCTTCGGGGAGGTTGACCCAGTACACGCAACGTACCAGGGGGTATGCCCAACTTACTGGTCAAATTCCCTAGAACTTCTTTTGTGACTTAATTCATTAAGTCTTAACATCCAAAACATAGATCCAAGTATTTTAAGATATCCTAAACCATAAAGTTATAAATTTTATGTCTTTGTATGCATGGATGGGGGTTAATACATGATTTAAGTCCTCAAACATACTATGTAACCATCTAACACTTGCATGGTTGTGGATTAACCATCAAGATCCGATTTTTTATGGTTCTAAACACCTCCAAGATCCAAAAAGGACAACTCATTTGGACAGAATCTTCTAAAACCTAAAGGACCTCAAATATGGAACCAACATGTAAGATAAAACACCCCAAAACTAGATCTTAGCATGCAATGATCAAGTTTAGAGCTTTATACCTCTAGTAGGTCAGAAATGATGCCAACTTTCTGGATCTACAAGCCTTCTCCAAGATCTTGCTCCTCATTCAAGCACATTCTTCTTTAAAACCACCAGAATAACAACAAAATGTTTAAAGTGAGCTCAAAATAGCAATGGGGTTAGGGTTCGAGTTGGGCATTGAGAGGACAAGGGATGATGAGAGGATAAGGGTTTTGAAAGTTATAAGTTGTTTAGATAGTGGGCAAATCCTAAAATTTAGGGTTTGCATCTGGTCACCCTACGCCCAGCGTATGCATGGAGGATCCCCGATCCACGCCTCTTGCATATATGCTGTGCGTACATCCTGTACACCCAGCGTACGCTCCTGCCAAAAAAAAAAAAAAATTCAACATTTAATAATTATGACTTTAATAAAAGTAATATAATACCTGATAAACCCAGACGTTACACTTTCTCGCTTCCTACGTATGAAGCAAATCACATATAATATATTTTAAACTAGACGAATTCCCGCGCGTTGCGCAATGAAGATTAAAAATATACTGTTAAAATATTGAAAAATATATGTTTAAAATGGTTATGTTATTGACATTAACTTTGAGATAATATTTTTACACTCATATATATATATATATATATATATATATATATATAATCTCTATTATTTTGAACAATAATATTCATTGACATCAACTTACATTCCTCATAATATAATTAAATATAATTATCTATTTAGTATTATTTTTAACAATTATTATTGATTAATTATATTTTGACTTGTGCGACCATTTTCTAATTTAAATAATGATTTTCATTTAAAATACAATTTATTTATAGCTAAATGTAATTTATAATTTGATGTTATTATCATTTAAAATTGGTATTAATTAGTTTTAAACCACTTATTATTAATAATAAGTTAACGAAGACTTTTAAGAAACACTTAATATTATTATTAAAATATGAAACATACACTAAATAATAAAGTAATAAGATAGACAATTTGCATTTCAAAAGAGACTTGCATGGATAATATGACATATCCATCTAATTTGATTTTATTATTTATAATTATTGCTTATTAATTTTAAAACCACTTGTTATTATTAATAAGTGAAAGAAACTTTTAAAAAACACTTATTGTTATAATTAAAATGTTAAACATAACTTAAAAATAAAGTGATAAGATAAACAATTTGCATTTTAAAAAAGGCTTACATTGATAATATGGATAATATAACATATCCATGATTTTTAATTAATGATTGTTTTGAAGCAACATGAACATACAAACATGTGTACAGTAGTTAATTAAATATTATATATATCATCTTCCATAACATATGATCGATAACATGAATCTAATCTAATTTACATTAAAATTTCAACCACAACATACAATGATATTCTTAAAAGAATACTTAAATCAAGAAAATACAAAAAAGAATTTATATATAACAAACTTACAGATTAAAAACTTCAACATAATAACATGGCTCGAAAAATTGTTCAAAGCCCTTAAACCAACACATAAGACTTTAAACTTGTTTTCTTTGTGAATTTTGTATGTGATTTGTATTTGTGTGTCTACTAAAAAAGATTGACCTTTTTATAGTAGAGTATCCATTAATTGTTTATTAAATATATTATATAAGTTATAAAACCTTTGAATTGTTAATCATTATTAAGATACTTTTGAGTGATATTCATTAAAATAGGAGGTTTCAAATGCATGAGGTGTTTGCAAATTTTTATGGGGGTTTCAAATGCATGAGGTTCAAGGAAAAATGCTAGCTTTATAAGTATGTATGATTATTTGAACTTCCATTCGTTAACTTAATAAAAGTAATCTTGCTTGCTTATATTTATGTGTGTGTCGATATAAACACGATTTTCT